AAAGTTTTCATAGAATAATGTTCTTTGTCTCATCGACAAACTGGTTTTGAAGCTCTCCCTTTGGGCCAGAATTTTCTTCAATTCCTTATCTTTAATTCACTTTTAAGAGTGGGATATAAAGGAGTTGTGGTAGAGTAGGGGACAATTCTTTCTTTAGCAGAGAACCAAAAAGTTTGAAACACAAATTAGCTTAGCAAATAGATGCCACCCCATAACTCCGGCTACAATAAATTAGCATTGACTTTGTTTATTTTTATTTGTGCTTGTTTGCACCACGAGAGATGACTCATCATAACAGGGAAATCAATTCAGATGAGCTTACTTGTTTCTCCTCCAACATTTGTTAAATCATACTTCATCACAAGCAGTATCCGATTCAGTTGGCACCAAAGATCGAATCGAAACAGGTACTATTCTCCAAGAATTAGTAGTTTCTTTAACTTCTTTTGTTCTGGAAATAAGTTCGGATTCTGAGGATAGTTAGCCACATTTTTCTCCCCTCCTGCACGTTTCACTTAACTTTCCTGTAGGTCTGTGAAATGTTGGTATCCTCCTACTAGTCATTGGAGTTTCTGCTGAGAATTTGTTTCTGGAAGTTTGAAGGTTTGTTTTTTAGGGTACGAAATGCTTTATGAAAGGTTAATTTTCAATTTTCATGTCGGCATCGTCGGAACTGCAAATTATGGGTACAAAATGCTTTTAATACTGAAAAGAAATCTTTATCCTGTCCAGAAGTAAGAGATCACTAACACGCATACCATATTTAAGTAATCTTTAGTACAAACATGTGGGGGTAGAAGGTTGACCTTTAACTTCAAAGAATGCTTCAATGGACACCCTATGAAGCTAAGTAATGCAATAGTCTAAGTCAATCGTTAGTAGATATTGTTCTCTTTGGGTTTTTCCTGTCAGGATTTCCTTCAAAGTTTTTAAAACGTGTCTATTAGGGAGAAATTTTCATACCCTTATAACAAATCCTACGTTTTTTCCTCTGACCGATGTGGGAATTTACAGTAATCCAACTACAGGAAGATGCTCAACAACCTAACACCCTAATTCAACGAATAGATATAGCAAGCAAATTAACCTCAATAATCAACCATCTATATCTTATTAGGTTAAAGTTTCCTCCCCTTGAAAACAGGTTGAATAGGTTGTGCGTCAGATAGATAAATGTTTGGCTTCCTTGCTGCCTCCTTGTTTGCTTGCCTCCTCTTCTGACACTCACCTCAAAACTTGGGTTGCACATCGTTCCAAGAAGTGTTGGCCTGATTTGCTTGCCATGATAGCCACCTCTCACCCCTAGTTTGATGGTTCCATTGGCAAAGCTTTTCACACCAAGCGTTTATAGTTGTTGGCCTCCTAGCGGACAAAAATTTAGCTGATGAAAGGGTTGGACGTGTTATGTTGACCCAGTTTTGATTTGGAGCTGTCAGTGGCAGCAGTGTTCATTTATCAAATTGTTGGGTGCAAACAGAAGTCAATCACGTTCGGTTTCAACGATCTATTTGGCAGATGTTACATCCATTTTTTCCTTACGTAGAGAATGGTACGCATCAAGCATCGCTTGCTTCAACTTTGAGTCCTTGCGTAGACAATGGTATGCATCGAGCATCGCTTGCTTCAACTTTGAGTGCTGTACAAATTATCTGTTCTCTTCAACCAAACTTAATCTAACCAGAAAACCCAAAGAACTTGGGCAGACTGACTAGATTCTGGGAATATTTGGCCTATGATCCCAAAATCCATACCTATCTTTGGGTGGAAGGGGAAAAGTATGGTTTATGTTTAAATTTTTTAATCCATCTGTGTTCAAGCCTTAACACCACGACTATTCTCCTGAGTCAAATCCATCACCCAAAAGAAGTTCGGTTTCAAAATCTACGAGTCTCGATGAGTTGAACAGGAAAGTGATATAATACCGGAGGAGTTGACAGCAATGAAACCCTTCATGAAGCAGCCAATCTATTACATTATCGTGACACGAGTGCTTTGAGTGCTTCACAAGTTCTGTCTTATATTATGAAGAAATGCAAGTCGGGTAAAGTTCAATGAAAAACAGAAATTGAGGAATGAAGACAGCACCCAACAAACATCACATAGTTTAGTTTAAAAGAAAGAACGAGTATCAAATGTTACAATGCGACAAGAGAGAGTAGAATATAAGCGTTTACTTCTTTTTTTCTTTTTACTCGAACGCCCATTGATTCTCCCTACGAACTTCCTCCTCTTCCTCGGGTGTGAAGTCATTCTTGATGTTAAATGTCTTGCGGATCTCCTCAGGAGTCTTCCCCTTGATCATGTCAGCCACCGTCTGACAAGTCAAATCTAGCAAGCTTTTGATATTGAGATAGTTTGCAGCCTGCAAATGTCATGTAGGATTAGATTCTGACCATCATTATCCCATATCACAAGCTAAGGTGATGCCCCTAAACCCTAAACAAAAAGTTACGGTGATGCCTCTACTTGGGGGAGTTGAACCATGTCCAAGCACATCTTGTGTGCACCTCGACTATTCTCACCGGATAACCGTATGAAGTAATTTATAAAACAAAACAAGTACATTAATTTATCAAGACGATTGGCTCGGTTGAAAGCCTAATTTTTAAGTCTTCAATGAAAACCATTAACATCTTCCAAAACGTATTAAAAATATCTTATAGTCCAAAAGGATTTAGGTGGATTCAGGATAATACTAGTACAAAAAGAACTACTTGGTTATACTCATTTGTCAAAAAAGATGATGAAATAATTCAATTAAAAACAAGACAGAACCCGAAAAATTTCAGATAAACCATAACATATAAACACACACACACACACATAAATGAATAACAAAGGATAATTATCATATGATTAGCAAGTTTGAAACGGGTAAATAAAAAATTTCGTTTAAATCTTATTAGGAAGGAACAAAAGTAGAAATAAAATCAATAAAACCAGGAAATATCAAGATAAACTGGTAAGAGGAAAGAGATTCACCCATATCCCACTAGAAAATAAGCAATTGACATTGAATTACCTCAACTAAATTAATGTTACAGCCATAACTAAAACATAAAAGATTGGATTGGATTAAACAGATAAAACAAGTTGGATGATTAATGATACACTAGCGGGTGTAAATGAATCTCATTACTCGATAAACAGGACATATACCGCGCATGTTTTAGTGCAACAACTCCAAACAAAGATTATATAAGGAATAAAGATTTCAGCCAAACGCCTAATACATCAAAAGCCTTCTCAATGACAAACATTTGTGGATCTTCCATACAAAGCCCTTATAAATCAATAAATAAACTCCCCTAGCGACTCCCGTTCGAAAATATAACTGTAGATGTTACAACATATTACAGCAGGCGACCATCATGTTTCAGTAATTTTGCAATATCTTATTCCCAATGTAAGATATCTGATTCAGGCATCATACCAAAACAGAAAACGTATTATGCAACCATAGGGTAAGTAACGAAACAAGAACCGAAAGAACCTTACCCCAAATCTAAGCAGTACCCAAACCCTAGACCCGAAATTAACCACAAAAAGAGAACAATCGGAGGGCATAGATACAGAGGGGAAAAAAAAGGACAAAACCGCAAGAGACCGCAAGAAAATTTAGAAAGTATCATCCGCATACCAGAATGAGATCGAACAAGGTCGCCTGGTCGACTTTGACGAATTCGCTGTCCCAAGTCTTGAGGTCGTCCTCGACGGAGCCAGCACGATCCTCCGGCTTGGGAGATTCGACGTGCTTCTTGCAGTACTCGATAACCTTGGACAAGATCTTGCTGTTCACGTTAGGGAGGGGGATTCCACTATCGGCGCAATCGTCTTCAATCATGTGCTTGATCGTCTGTGACTCCAAGGCGACGGCTTCGTCAACCTCAAAGATCTCGCCATCGGAGCTCTTCAACGTGATCTTCCTCCCTGAAGACATGGTGCCGTATCTCCTTTCTCGAAGATTCGGTGAGCTCTGAAACCCAAAGAGAGAGAGAGAGAGAGAAAGAGAGAGTCGCGATTTGCTAAAGAGGACGAAAAACAAACGGTGACCACAAAATGGGTTTTCAAGTGCAAAATCCACCGATAACCACTTTTCTTAGCCTAAATTACAATAATATATATATATTTATTTTTATTATAAATCCTTCATGTTTATATTTTATTATAAATATATATATATATATTTATTTTATTATAGGATTTATATATATATATTATAAATCCTTCATGTTTCATTCAAAAATATATTTATTTTTCTCAATCTTAAAATATAATATTCTTCCATAAATATTTCAAAATTAACCGCTCTACAAAAAAAAAAAATTAACAAAAAAAATTAGAATATTGCACTGAGTATTTACGGGACAACAACAATAAATTTGTTTAAAAGAATAAGAACGAGTCTTAAAGAAGTTTTAAAAAGAATTCACACAATGCTTGTCCGAGAATTTTATGTTATGATTTATGCCTTAAAATTTTATAATTAATGTTTTATTTGTAATTAACATTTTCTATTATAATCCAAAAAGTTTGTAGGTTTGAAAGATCAATAATCTAAAAATAAGTTTAAAAATCTCCGGTTGAAAGATGAATATCTGTTTTTTAAGGTTTAACAGATCTATAATCTAAAAATAAGTTTAAAAATCTCTTGATAGAAAGATGAATATCAATTTTTTTTAAGCTCTCCATTGGATTACACATCGTAGTTGGAGGTGAGAACGAAACATTGTTTGTAAGGGTATAGAACTCCTAACAGACACATTTTAAAAACCTTAAGGGAAAGTCTGAAAGAAAAATTCCAAGGAGAATATTCTTTACAAGGGGCGTTTTAAAAACTTTAAGAAGAGGTCCAAAAGAGAAATTCCAAGGAGAACAATATCGGCTAGTGGTAGAATGTTTTCAGAGACTTCTTGAAATGCTCTAAGATGATTTTGGGTTATCCTGTCCATCAAACTTTGTCGGATACCCACATGTTAAAAACCTTATCTAATAATTAAAAAAAAAAAATGAATTTCTTCCGGTATTCCTTTGCTTATGACGTGCATGAATATAATATTGTCCTCCACACCTAAATGCTGGAGGGCACATATGGACCTTTCAGACAAACTACAGCTCTCAAAATGATATTTCATAAGATGGGTATCATATAGACCAGTTAGACCGAACGAGCAAGGCCATCATATAGGCATCGCCGTCGGTCACATATGCAATTCCTGGCTTCACGTTGAATCTCTTACTCATGTTCAGTTTAACATAAGATTCAATCTGAAAGTGATCCGTACCTGATGTGCCTCCATGAATCCCACCTAAGTTCATTCCCCAACCTAATGCCTCTTCACTATTATTATCAGACATCGACACAGCCCATTGCACGTCGTTCGGATTTGATTGCCTCACCTCAACCCAACCTCCAAGTCTGATCACTTCGTCGAGTTCCGACTCCAGCAGTAAAGCCATAGATCCCCTTGAAATAGCTTTCCTCGACGCTGTTAACAAACATGAATCAGGTGTCTCGGCTGTTTCAGAAGATTCATGTCGACTCCCTAGTCCGACTGAAATTGTAAGGGCTCCGAGATCGACATGTTGATTGCATAATTTTGGCGCTTGGAGAAGACCCAGTAGTGAGAGCTTTGTTCCTCTTGAGAATTGGCACATTAGTTGTCCAAATGTACTAAAGCAATGCTGAATCCGACCAAAACTTGGTTGTATTTCCTCTGTTGAAATGAATTGAACTAAGGAAGCAGTAACATTGGATCTTCTCACCGTTAAACCAATGGCGCCACCATTTGGCTGATCCAAAAGGGGTGGTCCAAAAGATGAAATATCTGTAAGACCCTTTTCCTACCACATAGAAAAAACCATATAGATTAACTTCATGAATTATACGCCAACTAGAACATAGTCTTCGATGGAAAGTACTCGAGAGCATTCACGAACATAACTAGTTGATTCGAATTGGTAACCAATACGAACATTAACTGGCTCAGGCAATATTTTACGCAACAAAAAGTACCACCATATAATTTGAGTTCAAATTCAACACCGATATTAAATATTAGACGACAAGCATTCCTATAACATCAGATCATACAACAGAACTGTCAAGAGTTAGATTAATACTGATACCAAACTTACGCATAAAAGAAAAAGAGAGTGACCCAAAAAATTACAATGGCCTTTTCAATTTGAGCTATATTAACATTTTATCTTAGTAACTTTCATTCTGATGGAGGAGGATTACAAGAGAATCATATGATATATCTTTCATAGCCGTAATCTATTTCACTCTCTCTTTCTATCTAGAAAGGGGCATCTTTCGCTTGACTTTTGAGTTGTCAGTGCATGCGTCCACCACAGTCAGGACTTTCATAGGTACCTTGTACGTAGTTAAGGTGAAGCTTTGTTTGGTTTTGATTCTAGACTAGACTTGAAATAACCCTATGATTGACCTAGCTCAAATTTGATGTTGCTCTTTCTCTCAATGAAAAAAAAAAAGTCGTGCAATGTCTCAAACACCTTTACTCGCAAGAGATAGAGAGGGGGGTATTTCATCTCCTTCCAATCTTATATCAATCTAAACGGTAGATGTCAATCCATTTGCTAATTCTTGGATAGTCTACTTAAGGATTATAATAAAGGTTTTATGCTTGTGAGTGTCCAAAGGTAATCTAGTAAATGGAGTGGTTTACTCCATCCTAACTACATTAGGATGAAGGTTATTACCTCAACCTAAAAGTGCCCCACGAAATTAAATACTAATCTAGTAAACTCATATAGAACTTGATAAGCAAACAATCATACTTGCAATAGATAGAAAGACGTAATCGCAATTAAACATACCCGACGAGAAGGGCTTGCAATTATAGCAACATCCCTACATCGAGCTCCAATAGGAGCTACAATTGCAGACATCCAATCACTCACACTAGCCTTGTAAAGAACTTTAGATAGAGTAAGTTCACTTCCAGAGTCAACACCAAAATCCACCTTGGCTTTCTGATTGGCTACGAACTCTGCAACAAGAGAATCGTTTTCTCTTACAGTCGTTTCAAAAGTCAATCTCGAGTGAATTCCTGTGGAGATTCCAGAACTACGAAGTGTTTTGAGGCTATGATTATCAATAACACTCATCAATAGTAATGCGCCCAATATATCAACCTCTCCTCTTACATGAGTGCCATTTTCTTGGAATGGACTACTCCTCTGTGTATTGTTAAAGGATGGTACCTTCTCTACCTTTTCTTGTCTGTCTCTAAGTCTCATTAAATCTGAAAATGTTTCCCTTTGCAGCCGCTTCAGGATTTCAATCTGAAATAATGTACCAGCAAAGTTACCTAAATTGACTACTTAAATTCGTTTTAGAATAAAACTGGTAGAACAAAACACCTTAGTCGCCATGTAATTACCAGAGTCATTTACACTAATGTATAAAATTCCAAAGCCAATTGAGAATATTCATTAAAAATTTCAGCCAAAATGTTCATCAAGAAGGACGGTCATAAGGCAACATGCAACAGTGTTAACACATAACCTTCTAACTTTGGAAACTCAAAGTTTCTGTACAGAATGAGTCAGTAAAATCGAAGTCTTCCTACTCCAAACACAAGTGGAAATGGACAAATAGAAACTAAAAACAGTATCACAATTCATAGGAACAACGAATACCGCCATTTTCAGACGTGAAGAAACACATACTACGAGACTATAATACATGAAGCATTACCGGACGGCGGCGAGATGATTGTTGGCGGCGACGAACTAAACCATCGAAGAAATTGTGGCTTGCGGTCCCGAAATCTTTTAATTTGTCGACGATAAATGTAATAGGCTCCATTTCGGGGAACCAGAAGATCAGTGATTGGACCGACCAGAAGTATAGCCTATGATTCTCTCTTTAATCTTCAAGCAGTTGAATTCGATCTCAGCAAGCGAGTTGAAGCTCTGAATTTGAAGGATGGGCGGCAACCGCAAGGTTAGCCGTCAATTAGGTCGCCGGAGATCACTAAAACGGACATTTAATCATGAATTTTAAAGACGTCAAAAAATAATATGACTTTTTTTTTTTTCTTTTGGAACTAATCCAATACACGAGTAGATATTGTCCACAATCCACCTCCTTAGGGGCCTAGCATCTTCGCTGACACATCACTCGATGTCTGACTTAGATCTCATGATATTATTTGTAACGATCCAAGCTAACTCTCATACCATTTGTAACAACTCAAGCTGGCTCGATACCACTTGTAATTATCAAGGTGGGATCTCACAATCCACTTTTAGTGTCGGGCTCTGACACCATTTATAACCATCCAAGTCCATAGCTAACACATATGGTTCTCTTTGGGCTTTTTCTCTAGAGTTTTCCCATGTTAAAAGACATCTACTAGGTAGAGGCTTTCACGCCCATACATAAGAAAGAATGTTTTGTTCCCCCTTTCCAACCGTTATGGAATCTCACAATGTCGTTTTTCCAAAATATCGACTATCTATCGATTTCTTTCTCTTCTCCTCCCAACCTCTCACATATAATATTTTAATTATGTAATTATTTTTAAAGTTTGAAGCAATATCATCAAATTATGTTTAATTCCCCGAAATGTTTGTACCAAGTTTGTTATATTTTATCTATACCGGTAGTATTTAGGTTTCTAAATTTTTGTACTCGACATTTTTAGTTTATGATTGAGTTTAATAGTATTTTATGTTCGTAGATGGAGATGATGGACAACTCAAAGATATTTTTGAAACACTTTTAAAAATTAAAATATATTTTTGAATTTTTTTTTAAAATTTAAAAGTATTTTAAAAATAAATTATTAATGGTTTCAAATAAAACTTTTAATTAAATATTTTTATTAAAGTAATTTAGCATATAAAATATAATATATTTTAAAGAACACAAAATAAAATGGAAGACTAGCCACGTGTCCTCATTTTTAATTTAATATTTATTAATTATATGCTTTTTGTTATTCTTGATAAAATTGAATTATAATAACAATATATTAATAACTAATACAAAAATCATTAATCATTAATTATTAGCTCATCATTAATGTAAACAAAATGATAATACATATAATTGAGAGAATTAAAGTTACACATCTTTTTTGCCTTCAATTTTGGAATATATTTTTTATGAAAATTAAGCTAATTGAATTATAGGAAATTAGAAATATATTTTTGAATGATCGGAGCGACGAGGTAGCTGTATGTAGCTTCGGTTGGATGAAAACTATCCCAAAACACGAACTTGTTGGGATCGTTGCAGGTCTTCACAAATTTGTTACAAAGAAACGTCACCTCGATCTTCCCACTTCCACAACACCCTCTATCTGCAACTTCAAACCCTAAAATAATAACAATTACGAGCGTTTTCAGCTTTTCAATTGTTCGGTTAAGCTTGTGCTCGATTTACTATTATTTTCAATAGAATAGTTATACGAGCGTCTACACTAATTTAAAATGTGAGAGAAAACGGAGCATATCGAGATAATTGTATACCATATTTACGATAGTTTTGGATGATATCAAGGAGAGGATGGTAAATATCCACGTAAACTAGTTTGCTGTTAGGCAGTGAAGTTTGAAGTTGATCCAAAGCGGTGTGCAATTTTCCATTGAAGAGCTCTGCAGCAGCGTTGTACTCATTTACGCACACCCTTTCAATCCCGCCGGCCAAGGTTCTTTGCGACGGCACACACCCCAACGGCGGTGCCCCGAAGAATCCGATTCTCCGCCCACCGGCTGCGTACAATCCCTTTAAAGAAAATAAAACGTTAAAATTTAGATGAAAAAGAGAAGGTACTTGCATGTGGTGAATGAAACAAAATGCATTTAATTAATTGATATTAAATTTAAAATAATAATAATAATAATAATCAAACTGGTAACGACCAAGCTCATCACTAGTAGATGTGGTCCTCTTTGGACTTTCCTCACCTCTACTCAGGAGAGGTTTCCACACCCTTATAAGAAACGTTTCCCTCTCCAACCGATGTAGGATCTCACAATCTACTTTTCTTGAGGGCCCAGCGAAGACGCTAGCACGCCGCCTAGTTTCTGGCTCTTATACCATTTGTAACAGCCTAAGCCCATCGCTAGCAGATATTGTCGACTTTCCCTTCCGGGGTTTCACTCAAGGCTTTAAAATGAGTCTAATAGAAAGAGGTTTCCACACCCTTATAAAGAATGTTTCCCTCTCCAACTGATGTAGAATCTCACAATCTACTTCCCTTGAGGGTCCAGCGTCCTCGATGGCAAGCCGCCCGGTGTTTGGCTCTTATGCCATTTGTAATAGCCTAAGTCCATCGATAGCAAATATTGTCTTCTTTAGACTTTCTCTTCCGAGCTTTCACTCAAGGTTTTAAAACGCGTCTACTAGGAAGAGGTTTCCACACCCTTATAAGAAACGTTCCCCTCTCTAACCGATGTAGGATCTCACAATATACTTCCCTTGAGGGCCTAGTGTCCTCGCTGGCACGCCACCCGGTGTCTGACTCTTATACCATTTGTAACAGCGTATGGCCATCGCTAGCAAATATTCTCTTTTTTAGGCTTTCTCTTCTGGGCTCTCTCAAGGTTTTAAAACGTCTCTACTAGGGAGAGGTTTCTACACCCTATAAGGAATGTTTCGTTCCCCTCCAATGCATAGAAACTAAATATTTTTTAAATTAAAAAATAGAAATAGTTGAGAGACTAAACTTTGTACCTCTGCAAAAGCGGAAGCATACCGAGCCATGAAATCAGTGTACGAATCGATATTGAATTGAATTTGCCTTATTTTTGCAAGATAAAATGTGTTAGCAATGTCGTTGCTTCCCGCCGCCACCATGAACAAGCCATTGGCTATTATGAACTTTGCTCTCGCTACTCCAACCACTTCTTCTAGCTTCTTTGAGTATTCTATAAACATGCCTAATTGCTCTTCAAGTGATATTGCTGGCTGAAAATTCAAGAACCCATTTAGCTCATAATTCAAAATATCGTCTCGTGTTCAAAGTTTATTCATTACCGCTAATTGAGAGGTCAGAGGATCAAATCCAGCACCACCAGAAGCAAAATTGACACCCGTAATTAGGTCTTTGGGCCGTAGACTCAAGTTAGCATACGGTGGTAAAAACTCTTTGATACCCAACGCATCAACTAACAAAACAAACAAAAAGAAATCGATAACATTGGTCCAAGCCATGTAACCGAAAAAAATTTGAACCTCTACAATTTAATCGAACGAGGTTAGTTTAAACCTAGAAGGTCAGAGGGAACTCTGCCATTGGAAAATCGCCCGGTTGCCTGTTGACCGAGAAAATCCCTACCGTATGGCGGATAGTTGCACTTAGCTTGAGTGATGAGATTGTTATTGTTGCCTGTATCGACAATCGAGTCCCCGAACACGAAAACCGCGGGGACGGAGTAACCGGGAGGAATGTTTATAGTAGAACTAGCTAGTTGAAGACAAAGGAAAAGCTTGACTGCTATTGTGAAGTGGAGTAAAGGCATTGCTATTGTGTAGTTCAGCCATTATTCTGGGAAGGTATCTATATATGTATGAAGGGGTTACGTATTTGTTTGGTGTGCCTTCCAAATTTAATGCTAATAATGAAATGCCGGTGGAAACGTGGCAGATTTGGATTGGAAGACACCGTCTTGGCCCACGCTTCTATTTTTGTATTGGATTTGAATTTATCGGGATTGACAGGGATCGAACCTGCACCTTTTTGTCTTGATAGAACGGTGTTGTGACCGATTGAATTTTAGTCTCGAAACGCGTTTTAGAGAGGTTTCGGGTAAGGAATATTTTGTTCTCATCTCCAACCGATGTGAGATCTCTCAATCCACCTTTCTTGGGAGTCAACGTCCTCCACCTCCCGTGGGGGTTTGACTAATTGAACTACAGTCTCGAGAACTCTAATGTAAGTTTTTCCATACCCTTATAAGTGATATTTTGTTCTTTTCTTCAACCGAGGTAAGATCTCTCAATCCGCCTCACTTGAGGGTTAGTGTCTTCCACCTCCCTTGGGGGTCTGACCAATTGAACTACTGTCTCGAGAACTCTAGTGTACGTGTTTCCACACCCTTATAAGCATTGTTTCGTTCTCCTCTCCAACTGATGTGGAATCTCTCAATCCACCCCAACGTCTTCACTGGCACACCACTCGATGTCTGGCTCTGATACCATTTCTAACCATCCAAATCTACCATCAGTAGATATTTTCCACTTTAACCTGTCGTATCGCCGTCAGCCTCACAGTTAAAGGTGTTGTTATCCTCCGCTTATTATTATTATTATTATTATTATTTATTTTTTTATTATTATTATTTTTTGGTAGAACTATACTTTTAATATGTATCTCATTCTATTTATTATTTTCATTTAATATTCCCCCACCCCACTGTATTAACTAACACCAAACATGAAATAATAAATAAAAAATCGGGTTGAATTTCTTATAATCTCTATAATAGTTTCATATTTCGTACGAACGTATTTAAACGTTTTGCAAAATTCAAAAAACAAAAATAAGTTTTTGAGTAAGGTTATACTCGAGTTGGACTGAAAAAATCTTTTAGCTAGTGACTTATGAGACCCGAACAAGGGTTAGGTTGTGAACTCTATTCAAGTTATCACCCACTTAACCAATTTGAAATTTCGAGACGGTGTATTATTAAACTGTTGTGTTCGTTGAGGTTACGTGATCTTAAATAATTTGTGGTCTCACATTTATGAGATAATGAGTTGGCCCTTTCACGTTTATGATATTAGAAGATTTAATTCACATTGATTTAAAGTAGTACCATCTTCCTGGGCCATTTAATAGTTATCAAACTTTATAAGATCATGACATGATCGGTCATGTCGATAAGCGTTTGTTTGAAGTTACTAACTTGAGTATGTATAAATTAGATATTTACCAATATGAACATAGCTCAATTGATTTAGATATATATTCATTGACCAAGAGGTTAGATGTTCAAATTCTCTGCTTTCATGTGTAGTTGAATTCAAATAAAAAATG